GCCACCGCTTGCCGTCGCCGGTGGACGCGCGCGTGCCGCCACCCTTGCCATGGCCGGCCGGCCGGCTTTGTGCCGAGCCGAGCCGAGCCAGGCCGCCGCCGCACCGTCCGATCGGCCCCGGGCCGATCCGGACCGTTGATCCCGTGGACCGGCGGTGGACCACCCGCGTGGTCCCGGTCCACGGTAGACCGACCACCCGTGCGCCGCTGCCGAGTGGGGCCCGCTTGCCGGCGCCCCTTTTCCCTCTCTCCCGAGCCGCTGACCGGTGGGCCCCGCATGTCGGCGCCGCGCCCCCCCTGATGACGTCAGCCCTGGGATTTATTGCGCAATAAATGATTTAAGGACTTTTTGTTATAGTAATAAACACAGTGAATCTTCTAAAATTCATAACTAATTCATCCGAGCTCCGTTTAAGCCCATTCAAGTCTCAGTAAATCAAGAAAAATGTGTAGAATCCATTAAAAATGGTTTTGTTCCCTGTTTCAGTAGTCTTATAACCTGTTTGCAATGTTTGCCTTGTATGTCGCTAGATTCCGGTTCTTCCGACGCTCCGGTGTACTTCGAAATAGACGCCGAGGTTCCTCCAGCAGTAGAGTAAGGCAAGTCATGCTTGTCACTTGAACATGTTGATCCTATATTGCAAATGCTCTATTGTTTTTCTTCAAATATTGCATTGTTTTATAATGTTACTATGGGGTGTTTACCTATTGTTACAGCCATGCCATTTTGATATCATGCCCCTTTGTTAGCTTGGGTTATAACATGAATATATTTTGGACTAGGAATTGCTTAGCCATGCTTAGTTCCACTAGCACACAATGGGGAAAGCTCACTAAAATATAGCCTTTAGGTTCAATTGGCAAGGTTGGTTTAGTACCACCGTTTTGGTGTTGGTTAATTAAAATGAATCACATGGTGGGCTGTGGGTGCATGGTTTTGCTAGTCGCACCCATGGCAGTTAAGGACCGGTTCGCGGGATGCCCTGGAAGAACTTATCGTACTTACCACAAGCCAGCGTGGGCAACGGCTGGGCTTGTAGTGTAGCTTTCCTCTAGCTGACGCATCCAGGCAAGGGTGGGCGTGATGGAGCGGGGCGGGCCCTGCGACGGCCTCTGTCGCTTCCGGATTCACCTAGGCACGAGAGGGGACTGCCCGCTGCCTTGCGAGGAGTGGGGGTGAAACCTGAGGTGTGGTGTGCTTGGTTAGAGGGGGTTATGCGAAGGGTCCTGTCACGGCCTCTTTCCGGTATGTCGTGGTGGCATGTCGGCGCACGGAAACGTGTCGTGGGGCTGTGTCTTGTGGGTACAGTTGTACACCTCTGATCAGAGTAAAACTATTCGAATAGCCGTGCCCGCGGTTATGGGCGGTCAACCAGATTCATCGTGATTAGTCTTACCCTAGTTTAGTCTAATGAAATTGGATAGTATAGGTAGATGGTTGGGCCTGTTGCAACGTGGGATAGCGTTGGACAGCGGATGATCAATATTAATTAATTATTGCAACTGTTTAATTCTTTCAACTTCTGTTTATAAATGCTCGCTTTATGCAAATGAACCACTCTAGCTCTCCTTTGATAATTCCCTGCATCATACCCCTATTCCGGTATGACTTGCTGAGTACAGTGGGTAGTACTCAGTCTTGCTCTATTTTTTCCAACCCCAGAGTACGAGTATGTGTCAGATGGTGGTTTCTCCAAGGAGTAGGCTTCGTCCGTGCCGACGAGGATGCCTGTGGAGTGGTGTTCCCGCTGCAGTTCTAGTCAAGGCTTAGCTCCTGTTGTCTTTCGTTTTTTCCGCTGCATTTATGTAAGATTTTTATGATATTTGTAAGATGTGGATCTGAATATCAACATTGTCGTTTGTGTACCCCGGCCGGTCCTGGACCGGGATTTTAGTGCACATTCTGCTTGGAATTCTATTCGGGAATTTCTGGGCGTGACACAAACCATCAAACATATTGGTGCAGGTAAAAAAGAAAGATGCATGGTCTAGACAGTCCGCACATTGGACATTACTGTTTTGGAAGCTTGGTTTAGGGAAAATAAGCTGCAGAAGGTGATGCCAGTAGCAAAGCACATCTGCTACAGCGCCGTACACCACGTTGTGGTGTTAGAACTACTGACCACAACAAGTCCACAAAGCCAAAGTACACCATCAGCAACCTCATGATAGGTTTTGTAGGTGTCGGCATCAACGCATGAGGGAAGTTGTCTTGGCATCCCCATGGATCACCCTCACTGCCATGTCATATGCCCACACTGCCTCAACGATATCTAACATCCCTAGCCACACTCGCTCCTGGCCCTCCTTGCCGTTTCCCATCAGATTGGATCTCGACATCGTATTTTCTCCATGGTCTCATCGGTCTCATCCTAGCACCGTGATACTTCGTATTCCCAGCCACCTCCGCCAAACCCTCCCGATCCACTGACACCGCCACAAATCCTTCAATGTTCTCACCCTCCCACTCCACTATCAATGAGTGGCTAGTTATAGCCATTGTGATGCCTGCCGTACCCTAGGAATTCCTCCCCTTTTGAAGGCATTGAAGTGTTTCCACTAGCTCCCTCGCTTCTAACATGAGCAGAATGGGCTGCTTGGACAGCGGATGAGAGGGGGGTAACCACTAATAATTGAGGTCAACTTATCAATGCCAGTTCTTGCCGTGAACAGGCAGTAATTTACACAGCCCAAACAGTCAAGATAAACATAATAAATTGTCGGATTGGTAGTAGCACTCTGGTTCATGGTATGAACCGGTTGTGTTGTTTTGCTGCCAGTCTATATCACCAATAGACAATGATAGTGTTGTACAATTGTCGGATTGTAGCACGCATCGACAGTGATACAACAACGTCGGTTGGTGCCATAAACTGGCTGTGATAACTAGTACCTCTATCGGCTCTAGGTGGTTTGGGTGGAAAACCACGGTGAATCCACAGTTATAGATATTATTGTCGGTAGGCCCTGTTCGTTTGTGCTTCAGAACATCAACTTTGATTTGGCAAAGCACATCCACGCACGCGCGCACACACACACAAGGTATTTATGTTTGTCACAACAAAATTTATATTGTTAGGCAACAATAACAAACGTCCACATTCTATTTAATAAAAAAAAGTTCGAACTTTCAGACCTAAGCTAACACATCTCGTGAGCATTACTCCCAACATCTATATGTTATTATATATAACATGCTTATTTCAACTACAGATGGGTTCAACATATATCAAGAACTTGGTAATGCTAAAAGTAGTGATGTAAAATGTTAGAAAACAGAAATGTGGTTCCCACAAGTTGTTCCTTAGAACTGTGTGTTTTTTTTCATAGTAAACGTTGTATATTATGATAACCTAACTGGATGGTGAACAGATCTTCCTTTAAATGTTTTTATACCAATCACATCCTTGGATTATTCCAAACATGTGTTGTTGTGAACATTGCAATTTTTTTCATGAAGTGCTACTCTGTTTCAATTTAGTAAGCAGGATTTATGTATAACAATTTCAATTGTATAATATGTGCCCCCAAACCCGTTTAAATTTTTAAAACAATAAGCACCTGATTTTCATTAATATGCAGCAATCAACACATTTTCAAAATTTACCTTTTTGTCTTTTTTAGTTGAGATATATTATATTAAATAAGAGAGGAAATTACCATCGTATTTGTACTAGAAAGGACCGAGTAAATTTAATAAAACCCCATCTATTATGGTCCATGTTACACAAAACCATTAAGATTTTGGCGTGTGCCACGTAACCCCATGTATTATGGTTTTCAAGTTTCACAAAACCACACTATTGATCATTTTGATTTTTTCCCTATGCCACAATCTCTCCTTAATCTTGTGAACCCCATAAGTACCAATCGCTAGAAACGACAAATATTATTCGACAAGGGACAATGGAGCTTGACGGTCACGCCATCAGGCGGGGGAATATTCTTTGTAAGATGCTGCGGGGACCATTCTAACTATTCTGCAAGCTAGCACCAGTAGCTATGGGGGACCACTCGAATGCACATCTAGATTCCTAGGGTTTCTGACTTTATGAGAGTACTGTAGTAACTTCCAATGTGCCATTAAGGGTAAGGATGTAACATCCTCTGTATCTTCAAGAGTTATATAAGCCGGTCCCAGTCTATAGCAAATAAGAGAAATTTTTTTTCATATCAATATACAATACGATATCAATATATCTTGAGCTCACCTCACTCTCAAGATAGACAGAAAAAAATAGTATTTTCCAGCCTATTTCCGATATGTCCGTGACTCAGTATCTCGATATCAAGTCCTTCTACCTAAGAGATTTCTGATGAAGTGAAACCATGCATATCCCTATACGTTGTTCCTCTTTAAAATGATTGTATTTAAGCCGGCGATATTTTGATAGTAACAGCACTGGATGTTTTTAGTCCAACGTGAATGATTTCATAGTTGAGTGCTTAAGTTTGCAACTTAATTTTAAACGTAATATCATCAATTGGTGGTGGTTGCGCCATCCTATTCACTGATATATATTGAGTACTTTCCAGTGGCAATTTTATGTGATACTTATTGGTTCTCCTTGTTCCGTCATTTTCCCGAATATGGTTTCTATGGGTGATTTGATGGTCATTTAGAGCTGCCAAGAGGTATAGTAGTGTAGGTACCAAATTAATCTGTCCCTCTCCCAAAGTACACACTACAAAATATGATATCTACTCGAGGACAGAAAATAATTAACTCTCATGCGAAATACTCATAATTCATAAACAATGGGCACACCTGTTAAACGATGACATATAGTAGCGTGCTTGCTCGGACAAACAGATACGTACGCTACGTGCGCATTTGGATGCATGCATACACCCTCGTCATCAAATCCGTTGCTGCATCTGCTTATTTAGTTCGTGTTCGCGGCTTTCGCTCTACTGTCACAGCCACCGCGCCAAGTCGATCTGCTCAGCATCTGCTGGTGCCGGTGCGATATATATATATATATATATATATATATATATATCCGTCTCCGGTCGGCCGGCCGACCAAGAGATCTAGCGAGTTGGCCATCATGGACGAGGTCGGTCGGGAGCGCGATCCGACGGGCGCACGTACAGCCCTGAGGATCGTGCGCGAGGCGTTCGCTGAGACACGAGGCAAGCGGTGGCGGCTGCTACTTGTGGCGTTCGTGATGCTTTGCGTCAACTTCGTACTGATGATACTTTGGGTGAAGATGGCCAGCCAGCAGGCGGTCAATCTCGACGCCTTGCGCCCGTTCTATGAAGTAGAGGAGAATTCGACCAAGTCAGCAGCAGCCGGTAGTGGAGAGGGGAAGGAATTAGCGTCGCCTTTGTGGGAACTCGATGTCGCAGGGGAGCTCTTATGGGATGTGTCTACGGTCATGGCAATTTTCCTCTTCTCTAAGGCTATGTTCTTCCTTCAAGGTTGTCAACCTCACCTGTCTCGTAATTTTAAAAGTATAAAACACTGAACAATATATCGATCAATGTACAGAATTAATTAACCTGGAACGCGTGCAGGAGGAGGGCAACATAGACGAGGAATTAGAAGCTTATTGAAGGAGTGCCTGAGCGTGGCCGTTGCAATAGTCGTGTGGGAGGTCATGGGGAACTTCGTATTGGGAACCCTGCAAGCAAACGGTTTCCAAGACCTCTCCCGCAAATTCGATGCCGCCTTCGGCTACGGGTATCTGCTCACCGCCGTCGTCATCTCGCAAGAAGACGTCCATAACTTCAGGGCAGTCGAGAGGGCGTGGGAGCTTGCAGGCCAAAAACTCAAGAACGTGTACGTTGTCGGTGTCATGATTATTTTGGTGCGCGAAGCCTTGGAAATCGTCTACCACCTGCTCTTGAAATATCGTCTCGTCTATCATCAGCACCATGTGGTGACTACTGCGGTTTCTCGACATGACGACACGACCGCTGACGTGGTGAGGTTCTCGCTCGTTGCAGCGCTGCTACATGTCATTATGCAGTCATTCGTGTGCACGATGGTCTTGGCGCTTTACAGGGAGACCAGGAACAACAACAGACAGGACATCCGTCGTAACGACGCTGCCGCGCACAATGACTAAGATCTTCTCGACAACCATCCGCGTCAGATGAAGAACGATATTAGAAAGAAGATTTTAAGAAAGATAAAAAGGACGATATGACAAACATGCTCTTGAAGCAAGCTGCAAGGGTCAACACCGCACAACCCTTTTGCTGCAAAGGACATGAGACAAAAATAATAAATAGTATATACGCAACTTACCTTCCTGTAAAATAGACAACAAAACAAAATAAAACCCAGCTATATAACATTCGATAGATTTTAAGAGAAAGAAGTCTGTCAAATGTAACTACATTGTATACTTATAGTGTAAAATTAGATTGTAATAAATAGTGTGTACCGATATATGTATGTGTATATATATATATATATGTATGTATATATATATATATATATATGTATGTATATATACTCCCTCCGTCCCAAAATATAACAACTTTTAGTCCTCAAGATTTGTTCCAAAATATAACAACTTCTCCACTAACATTCTCTTCACAACAAATCACAACTCTCCACCATTCACTTTTCCCACCTATCTTAACTACTCAACCAATCACGACCCTTCATCATTTATTTCTACCTATTTTCTTAATAACCGTGCCCACCTCTAAAAATGCTTATATTTTGAGATAAGGTAGTATCAAACTTGATTATAAGTGTAAAAAATGGGGTTAGCTCACTATGGGAGAGGCTCGCTTTCGTAACATGCAGGTTGTCAGTTCGAATCCCTATTCGCACGTACATGCCATTTTTATTCCACATCATCCCTATTACAAATCTCAAAGCAAGATCTGAGGCCCAAAAAATCCTATTACAAATATCAAAGCATGATCTGAGGCCCAAAAAATCGAAAATTTGTAGTCCACATCATCCCTATTACAAATCTCAAAGCATGATCTGAGGCCCAAAAAATCGAAAAACTGTAGGAAAAAAAACTGTCAACAGCTAGGAAGCACATCATCCCTATTACAAATCTCAAAGCATGATCTGAGGCCCAAAAAATCGAAAAATTGTAGGAAAAAAACTGTCAACAGCTAGGAAGCAATTCCGAAAAAAAAAATTCTGTCTTGTACGTTCTATCGTCCTCGTATCTATTACAAATCTCAAAGCATGATCTGAGGTCCAAAAAATCGAAAAATTGTAGGAAAAAATTGTCACATTTTTATTCCATGTCACCCCTATTACAAATCTCAAAGCATGATCCAAGGCCCAAAAAATCAAAAAATTGTAGAAAACAAAACTGTCAACAGCTAGGTAGCAATTCCAAAAAAAAAATTATGTCTTGTACGTTCTATCGCCCCTCGTATCTATTACAAATTTCAAAGCATGATCTGAGGCCCAAAAAGTCGAAAAATTGTAGAAAACAAAACTGTCAACAACTAGGTAGCAATTCCAAAAAAAAATTATGTCTTGTACGTTCTATCGCCCTCGTATCTGTTACAAATCTCAAAGCATGGGCGAGGGGCTTGCTAATGGGCGGGTGATCGCTCACAGCGATCACCCCCCATCCCCCCTACACGGCTACACGCTCCTCTCCCCCCCTTTTCCACCCCTTCTTCTGTTCCTACTACACCATAAAATTTAAAAAAAAAATAAAGTTCGAAAAATTTATGTATAGAAATACTATATATAAAAAATATTTGAATTTAAATTCAAATTGAATCGGGTATATAAACTTTGGGTCTATAAACTTTAGGTGTATAATCTTTATATGTATAGAAATACTATATATAGAAATATTTGAATTCAAATTCAAATTTGAATCGGATATATAAACTTTTGACTTATAAACTTTGGGTCTATAAACTTCAGGTGTATAAACTTTAGATGTATAGAAATAGTATATATAAAAATATTTGAATTCAAATTTAAATTTGAATCGGATATATAAACTTTTGACTTATAAACTTTGGGTCTCTAAACTTTAGGTGTATAAATTTTAGATGTGTAAACTTGAGATGTACAAACTTTAGGTGTATAAATTTAGTAAAATAGGAAAGTAATGCGGTGTCAAAAAAAAAAGAAAATTGTGTGTGGGGGTGGGGGGTAAGGGGGGGAGGGACCCATCGCTGCCAGCGATCGATCGCTTGTTAGGAATTTGGGGCGAAGGAGGCATGTGGTGGTCTGGTGGAGGTGTGTCACGCCCGGAAATTCACAAGTGATTTCCAAACTTATTTGTGCATAAAATCCTCATCCAGGAATCAGCCGAGGTACACAAACTGACAATTTAATATACAGATTCATCAAATTAACTAAAACGATAAGTACTTACTTAAGAGGCACTAAGTCCTCACCAAGAAGAAAACTGCAGCGGAAAATAAAATCTAGCGAAGCTCCGGCTCCACTCCCACAGGCAGCTCAACTGGGGTATAAGCCAAACGTCTTCTCCTTCGCAACTTGTCTTCAACTGAGGTTGATTGATTATTGCAAGAATGAGCATATGACATACTCAACAAGCCACACAGCAAATATGCAAGTGCACAAGGATACCAAAGGATGGCATAATATAGGCTCATTTGTAAAAGCAGCATTTAACAAAACATTTAAGAGAAGTAAAACAGTGGAGTAATTAATCAGAAATTTTAATCAACACTGAACAACATGCCCATGCTGCTCAGGCCCAACCATTCTGAAACAACCATACCCGGCTGTACAGATCTAATCTCCAAACCAGGAATTATCCATTCCAAACCAGAGCTAAGCAAATTATTACCAGTTATAACATCCATAATTATTGTGAGAGGTGTGAGACTAATCACGAAAAACATTGCTCAACTCGCCCATAACCGCGAGCACGGCTATTCGAATAGTTTTACTCTGGCCAAAGGTGTACCACTGTACCCACAAGACACAGCCTCAACATCATGTCTACCATGCGTCGCGATACTGGAAAGTACCCGAATAGAGGCTGTGACAATACCCTTTGTACAACACAACTCACCACAGTGCACCATTCCTGGATCATAATCACCCCCTTATAAAACAAGGCATGGACTCCCCAGCGACCCCCGTGGGCTTATCTCCACCACTACTCAGTCTGGTGCTCCGCAATGAATCATGCTATACAAAAGGTAAAGCCGTTGCCCACGCTGGCTTGTGGTTGGCACGATTAATGTTTCACAATAGTAGCTCGCGAACCGGTCCTTAATTGTCATGAGCACGACTCTCAAAACCATGTGCTCACAACCCACCATTATCAAGTTTTAGTTGGCAAGTAATTAATTAACCAATCACGATTGACCATCGTGAACTATCATTAAGCCATCATTAAATAATGAGTCATAAGTTATCCCAATAGTGTGCTAATGTTTCTAAGCATGGCTAAGCAATTATATCTAATATCTAGTTGAACCAATATATATAAAGCTCAACTAGTCCAATTATAATCACCCAAGGTATCAAGGAATAAAGTAATCAATGCAAACAGGCCATAACAAAGGAATAGGTTCACACCACCCAGTGACATTCGAAAATAAATGCACAGTTGAAATAAATAGAGAATTTAAATATAGGATCAACATGCTCAAAGGATTGTGTTTAGGATCTGTGTGACTTGCCTTGCAATAATCGGTCTTCAATTAATCTTCTTGAATACTTCCGGCGCACTCGCGAACCTTCGCAACGACGGAAACGACAAGCTATCACGCAAAACGAGGAAAAAGACTAATAAAAACCAAATAAACAATACATAAAAAATAAACAAACATGTAGATCATAATTTTAGATGAATTATGAGACTTGAACGGCCTCATTCTGACTTCAAATGAATTTATTACGAATTTTACAAGATTAAATCTATTTAAAGCCCATTTAAAAAGAATTAAATAAATTTAATTCAATTTATGGACAACTTTAATATGTAGATCTTTATTTTATATAATTTTTGCAACTTGAACCACATTAAACTGAGTTCAAATGAATTAGTTATGAATTTTTAAAGATTAAATCGGATTAAAACACTTATATGGATTTTAATTGAATTATGACGCAATAATGAATTATTTTTGAAAAGGAAAAGAAGGATTATTGCGTCAGCGGCTAGGGTTTGCGGTGGACCGGGTGCACGGCAGCGGTTCACGGGAACGGACGGCCGAGATCAACCCTATCCAAAACGGACGGCCGAGATCGAACGGATCCACCGCGGCTCACGGGAACAGCGACGATGACGTCAGCGATGACGGCAGCGATGACGTCAGCACCGGCGGCGGCTCGGGAGCGCAGGCTCGCCGGCGAACGACGGCGCGACGACGAGAACGGAGGGCACCAGGACGTAGAGCGCGGCGCGGCGAACTCACCGGTGACCAAAGAAGCGGCGGAGGAACAACGGACGGCGACGGCGACGAGGAAGAAGCGGCGGCGGAGATCGGGTCGACGGCGGCGACGGTGCTCCGGCGATCTTCGGCGACGGCGAAGCGGCGGACGGGGACGGCGACGACTTGGCGATCCCGACGGTGGCCTTCCCGAGTGACGACGACGACCGTAGCGACGGCGGCGCACGGCTGGACGAACGGCGGCGACGGCGGCGCAAAAGCTCACGAGGCTAGGGCGCTACACACGACGGCGGGCGAAGGCGAGAGAGGCGGCGGGTAGCGGAGACACCGGGGGTCCTTTTAAAGGGGCAAGGAGGCGGCGGCGAAGGCCCACGGCTGCCGGCGACGAGAAGGAAAGGTCGGGGTTAGAGGAGAGAGATGAATCCGAATCCAACTCAAATCCACCGGTTTCCAAAGAAAATTAGCCGATGTTTCCAAGAGAGAAAAGGAAGAGGAGATCTCAAGGATCAATTGCCCTCAATCAATTCGGCCGGAGAAGGAAAGGCGCGGCCGAATTTGGAAGGAGACGGCGGTGGCTTGCGCTAGGGTTTCGGGCGGCGGCGACGGCGCGAGGAAGACGAACCTGACAGGTGGGACCCACCTGTCAGCGACACCGAGAGAGAAAAGGAAGGAGCGCGGGCTGACTGGGCCGATTGGGCCGGGGAGGGAGAGAGAAAGAGAGAGGGGTTTTGGGCCGACTTTCGGCCCAAAGCCAAAAGAAGACTTTTAAAAACCTTTTTCAATTTAAATTATTCATGAAATGCAATTCCATTTATTAAAAATACTTCCTTAGCTCAAATAAATCCCAGAAAAATCTAGGAATTATAGAATTAAGCAAAGTATTTAATAAAATTTTATCTAGCCCAATTTTATATTGAGATTTAGCAAATTAAAATTAGATCTTCTCTTTTAGGCTTTTAAAATCATTTCTAATAATTCCTTTTAAACAACAATTTATAATTTAAGGATTTTAAACAAGAAAAGCACTTAACAATTATAATTAGATCATTATTGATCAAATAATTACTGAACTGTTCTTTGTATCATTTAGGAATTGAGCTCCGAAAAATCCGAGAATATTTCAGAGAGTTGACTTAATCATGGAGAATTTAATAAAA